GATTGAGTGCTAATTTCTTAAGTGATCTTGGCAAATGAAAAGTAGAGGAGGAAGAGTTTGGAGTCCACCATGACCTACATGATAGAACAAGAGTCCTTGATGAGTAAAGTCAATTCTTGAAGCTCAAATGTCACATTAGAAATATATGTGCATGAATATTTGACTTGTAACCTTGTTGATAATGCAAGAGTAGTGTGGGTAATTGTTGGTCCCAATTGATGTGTGACAGGTTCACCTTTGACTCGTTGAAATAACCTTTAACTCTAGGAGGTGGGAACTAATTTATTTGCTTGAGGACAAGCAAAGACTAAAGTTTGGGAGAGTTGATAAGTGAAAATTTTGACTACTTATTAGCACCTTTTTGCTTTTGTTTTAATCCGAAAGTATTGCTTTATGTTCTTGAAACTAATAAAAGTATGCAAATTGCAGGAATGTTGGAAGTTTGGTCTCCCATAATAAAATCCGACTCAAAAAAGAATGTTCCGAATCACAAGGAAAGAAAGGGGCGCAGAACTAAAGAAGTGCGGTCCGTAAAAAGATTTCTGCGGCCGATGAAGAAAGTGCGGACCGTGAAATTCCATCTGCGGCCACAGCTAAAGTGAAATAGCCCAGCATGAATTTGGCCAATGTGCAGACCACACATGAATGAATTGTGCGGCCGCAGAAGAAGGTTTGTACTGACAAATGATTCAAAGTATAGAGAGTGTGAAAAAGACCAAGTATTGAAGCCTTGCTGATGTGCGGACCGCACATGAATTGTGCGGCCGCACCAGATGCTTCGCAGCCGCAATCCAGAATTGTCCAGCTGTAGAATCCAAGATCTTGCCAACTAAAGAAATAGGCAGACCGCAGATGGAATTGTGCTGCCGTAGAACCTTCCGAAGAGCATTTTGGTCAGCGAATTTTGGGCCACTATAAATAGATGAGTTTCACATTTTTAGGTCAAGTTTCGAAGTTTGAGCTGCTGTAGCCATTACATCTTGCCATTTTAGGAAGTTTGTGACTATTTTAATATTTAAATATTATATTTTATCATTTTAATCTTAGATTATAAGTTTAATTAGCATTTTTTCTTTATTTTCTTCAATTCTCACTATGAGTAGCTAGATTCTTACTAGGGTTGTGACCCAATCCTAGTGTGTAAACTTTATGAGTATTTAATTTAATGTTTGTCTATGATTGGATGTTGATTATTTAGCTTAGTTTATGCTTCAATTTTAGAATTAATGGTTGCAAACATTGATTCATGCCTTTTTGACTTAGTCTCCACTTGAAAAAGAGAGATCTAGTCTAGGATAACTTGGCTAACAAGGAATTGGCCTAATTGAGGGTTTGATTAGCCTAATTAAAGGGTTCAAACTAGTGATAGTGAGAACTCGACTTGAGATCATATCAACTATTTTGTTTGATACCCATTGGACTTAAGAAAGCCAAATTGGGCAAAATCACTCTTTGACCGCGAGGTATTGAGTGGGTAACGTAGAGTTGAGAGATATAATACACCCCAATCAACAAAATAAGTATTAACGTATTTAACCCATTAGGCGAACACCTAGGTTATGGTCACATCCCTAGGCTTTTTAATTATTTGAAAAAATACCAAAAACAATCATTCGCTTCTAGTTTCTTTTCTTAGCTTATAATGGCCAGAGTAAAATTAGAATTAGAAATTAAAAACTTTTGTGGAAGTGCAATTTAGTTATTCCTGTTGAAGATAATGATAAGGCTAACAAACTTGATAACTATGCGATCACTTAGTTTTAGTTTACAAGAATTAGGACTATTTGTATTAGCTATCCTAGAATAGTCCTACTCTCTGTTGTATAAACAAAATATAGGATCAATATTCTGTATAAATAGATATGACTCGTGTAACTGAAAATATATCAATACCTTCTTGGCATTGTCTTTGTACCATAATTTCACATGGTATCAGAGCTTCTTTGAAGCCAATCCCGCTGCCATAATCTAGTTCTTACTACACAGTATCAACTCTGTCCATATGGCTTCCAACACCTTTTCAACAGCCTCTCTTCATCATCTCATTGCTTCATGTCCTGTGAAATTAAAGCCCTCTAACTATCTGATATGGAGAACACAAATGATGCAACTTATCCAAGTAATAAGGTTGAACTATCTCATTGAAGGAAAGCCAGAAATTATAAACATAGAAGGCACCAGTGAAAGCAGTGATAAGGACAGTGACAAGGGAGTTGACAAAGCCAGTGACAGAAAGGCTGATATTGCTGATGACTGGTCTGAAAAAGAAGTGTTGTTAAGGAGTTGGAAATGTAGGACAATTTCAAAAGAGAGCATGTATCTAATTGTGAGATGCACGACTACTAAACAAATGTGAGAATTCCTGGAAGAAACCTATCTACAGGCAACAAAGGACACAGAATTCCAGTTGAAGCAACAACTCCAAACCATCAAGCTTGGCAATAAAACCATCAATGAATATCTGAAGGAATTCAAAGGCATTTATGATGGCTTGGCTGCCATACACAAGCATGTAAATGATGATAGCAAGGTCATCAACTTTGCTAGAGGTTTGGGTCCTAAATACAAAATATTTAGGACAGTGATGCTTGGCAAAGCACCTTATCCAATTCTGAGCCAGTTGGTCACTTTCCTAAGAGGCTTTGATCTCAGAGAGGATGAAGGAGATGATCCACAACAAATGAATCACAATATGCCATTTGCAGCACAAAGAACATACAACAATAAAGGTATATGAAGTTTCTCAAACCGAAGAGGTAACATGAACTACAGTTCAAAAGGTAGAGGCTTCAGGCCTACTGGACAGAACAACAATCAAAACACTCATGGATATGAAAATGCTGCTAAGGGACAGTAAACCACATGATCATCAGCCTGCCAGATATCTGGTAGGAACAATCATATTACAATAAAGTGCTTCTACAGATAGAATTTCTCATATCAAGCACCAAAAGATTTGCCACAGGCTCTTGCTACACTCAATGTGAATAGTTAGAGTAGTGGAGACAATGCTCACTATATGAATTCTAGAGCAAGCACTCACATGAACAACAATTCAGGTAACTTATCCAACCTTAAACCTTACAATGGAAATGATAAAATTGTAGTAGGAAATGGACAAGAACTGGATATCACACATATTGGAAAAGGAACAATTTCTTGTTTAAGGATGAGTGAAGTGCTAGTAGTTCCTAAGCTAAAAAAGAATTTGCTATCTGTAAGTAAGATTACTAGAGATAATTGTTGCTCCATTGAGTTTGATAAATCATCTTTTGTTGTAAAGGACAAGCGGACATGGAAACTGATGGCCAAGGGTGCTAAAAAGGAGAGATATATGCCTTAAAGGTGGATAACCTGTTTGCTTTGAATGCAACACGGACAAGGAGAAGCTCTAGTGATATTTTACATGCCAGACTTGGGCATCCAAGTTCTAGGTCCTTAGAAGTACTTAGTAACAATAAGTCTATCAATATCATATGTTGGCATAAAACTCCTGCAATTTGTGTTAGTTGTCAAATGGGAAAAGGTTGTAAACTACCACTCAAGTTGAGAAATAAAGTTGAGAATGAACCTCTTTTGAAAATTCATTGTGACTTATGGGGATACTATGATTTATTTGTTGATGATTACAATAGATATACTTGGTTGTATCCTTTAAAAATAAAATCTGATTTCTTTGAAACATTTGTCAAATTCCATAAAATGGTTGAGAAACAGTATTCAAAGAGTATCAAGATCTTTCAATGTGATGGTGGAGGTGAATTTTCAAGTTTTGAATTTGTTAAGTACTTAGAAGACTGTGGCATTGTAAGACATATTTCCTGTCCTCATACTCTTGAGCAAAATGACATTACAGAAAGGAAACATAGACATATAGTGGAAACTGGATTGACACTGCTACTACATGCTAGGTTACCTTTATATTTATGGACTGAAGCATTTCTCACAGCAGCATTCCTGATAAATAGATTGCCATCATCTGTGCTTAAAAAGGAAATACCATTTCACAAATTGCATGGTTCACACCCTGATTACAACAGTTTGAAAGTGTTTGGGTGCAAGTGTTTCCCTTACTTAAAGGGAAAACACAAGTTCTCACCTAAGTCCTATCCATGTGTGTTCATTGGTTACAACAGTTTGCATAAAGGCTATAGGTGCTTTCATCCAACCACAAGGATGGTCTTGGTGTCAAGACATGTTGCCTTTGATAAACTAACACTTCCCTATGTGCAGGAAAATAAGACTAACAGTGCACCAAATGATTCTAGTCATATGGCCACCTTCTTTGAATTTTTCTCAGAATCACAGGCTAATTCTGGTTCATCAGACCCTATTGCTGCAGGGGAAGTGTTGGGAGCTGATCATGATATAGTTGCAGCTGATGTTTCAAATGATCAAAGTGCTGTGTTGGGAGCTGATCATGATGTTGTTGCAGATGATGTTTCAAATGATCAGGATGATGGTGTTACTACTCAAACATCTGCTCCAACTGCTGATCACAGTGATGCTGTTGAGTCTGATCAGAATGAGGTTGTGGAGGTCACAAATAGTGTTGTTGAGCCCTCTGCAGACATGCAAAACTCAGTCACTGATGAATTTCAGTCAAAGGCCTCTCACTCAGATGAAACACCTATGCAGTTCACAGTGACAGATCCAAGAGGATTGTAGCTAGAAGTGGACTTGTCACACTTCTTCAATGCCCAGGATGAAGCACCTCTAGCAGAAAACATAGTTCATGCCGAACCTGAAATCACTACTCAAGGCCATAAAATGATCACTAGATTCAAAGCTAAGTCTCTTCCTTTAACTCATACCTCACTAGCTGTTGTACAAACAAAACTACAAGAATCTAAAACTATAAAAGAAACTCTTAGTTTCCCTCACTGGTTTAAAGTTATGCAAGAAGAATTAGCAGCTTTACATCAAAATGAAACTTGGATACTAGTTCCCAGAACTTCAACAATGAATGTAGTAGGATCTAAGTGGGAGTTTAAAACAAAATGAAGCCGGATGGATCAATAGAAAGACACAAAGCAAGGCTAGTTGCTAAAGGATACTCACAACTTAAAGGGATTGATTTTGCAGAAACCTTCAGTCCAGTAGTTAAAGCTATAACCATAAGAGTTATTCTCTCATTTGCTGTCACTTTACATTGGTCCATTAGGCAACTAGATGTTAAGAATGACTTCCTACATGGACATCAACAAGAAGAAGTTTATATGACTCAACCACTAGGCTTCACTGATCCAATGTATCCTAACCATGTATGTCTTTTAAAGTAGACATTATATGGTCTCAAACAAGCTCCTAGAGCTTGGTCTGAGAGATTTAGTCTATTCCTACTTCATCTTGGTTTCAAATGCAGTCGAGCTGATTCTTCCTTATTTACTCTCCATGATGTAGAAGGAAAAATATTACTCCTGTTATATGTAGATGATATAATTATAACAGGAAGCAACTCAAGGCAGATAGGGGAAGTAGTGCAAAAGCTGGGGCATGAATTTGCTATGAAGGATCTTGAACCCTTGATTTACTTTTTAGGTATTAAAGTAAGCTATTTTCCTGGAGGAATCCATTTGAATCAAAGCAAATATGCAATGATTTGCTTAGAAAAGTGGATATGGCAAATGTAAAAAGAGTGCATACTCTACTAGCTTAGAAGCATGGTCTACAAGAAGCAGCTGGCAAAGCAGTTGATCCCTCAGCTTACAGAAGCATTGTAGGAAGCTTGCAGTACCTTACACTCACAAGACCAGACATTACTCATGTTGTTAATCTAACAAGTCAATTCATGCAGAATCCAAACAGCATGCATCTTCAGGCAGGAAAGAGAATATTGATGTATGTCAAGGGAACCATTGATCATGGACTGAGAATCATATCACAGTCTTCCTTCAGGCTGTATGGATTCCCAAGTGCAGACTGGGCAGGATGTTCCATTACAAGGAGGTCTACTACTGGATATAGTATATACCTTGGTGCAAATTGTGTCTCCTGGTCATCAAGGAAATAGAACACTGTTGCAAGGTCAAGTGCTGAAGCTGAGTATAGAGCACTGGTAGCAACTGCAGCTGAACTTACCTAGATAAGCTACATCTACAAGACATTGGAATGTATATCAATACTGCTCCTGTCTTATTTTGTGACAACTTGAGTGCTCTATACATGACTACAAATCCAGTAATGCATGCTAAAACTAAACATGTAGAACTAGATTACCACTTTGTCAGAGAGAAGGTAGCTTAAGAAAAATTAATTACTCAGTTTGTTAGGTCCAAGGACCAACTAGCAGATGTTCATACAAAGGCTCTTGGCAAAAGACCGGTTCCAATTCTTTCGAGACAAGCTAGGTGTAGTGAAGTCACCTCCCACGAGCTTGAAGGGAAATGTTGAAGATAATGATCATGCTAACAAACCTGATAATTCTGCGATCACTTAGTCTTAATTTACAAGAATTAAGACTCTTTGTATTAGCTATCCTAGAAGAGTCCTACTCTATGTTGTATTGACAAAATATAGGATTAATATTCTATATAAATACATAGGACTGTAATGACCCGACCGGTCGTTTTGAGTATTACATTTCCCCATTTACTACTCAATTTATGCCTTATACTTGATTTATGACTTATCGGGTTAGTTGGTTCGGGTCCGGAAGAATTTCGGAGTGAAATGAGATACTTAGTCTCATAATTGAAAACTTAAGTTAAAATAGTGACCGGATGTCGACTTATATGTAAACGACCCCGGAATGGAGTTTTGATATTTCTAATAGCTCCGTATGGTGATTTTAGACTTAGGAGCATGTTCAAAAAATTATTTGGAGGTCCGTAGTAGAATTAGGCTTGAAATGGCAAAAGTTTAATTTTTGGAAAGTTTGACCGGGTTGTTGACTTTTTGATATTAGGGTTGGAATCCGATTCTAGAAATTGAAATAGGTCCACTATGTCATTTATGACTTGTGTGCAAAATTTGAGGTCAATCGGACTTGATTCGATAGGTTTCGGCATCGAATGTAGAAGTTGAAAATTTCATAATAGACTAAAGTCAAGTGAGTTCGTACAAGATCTAATTTCAAATGAGCATAACTATCATGATACAAAGTGTTATATGGTGTATTACCTATCAAATAAAATATCTTTGAGTCTAGTTTCTAACTTTTTAAACCGTTCATCATTTGGACATTCCTACAAGAAGTTATGACCAAATTATCAAAGGCTGGAAAAATGAGATTCTGCGGCAATTTTGCGACCATTATGCGATCGCAGAAGTGGTTATGCGACCGCAAACTGGTCAAAGAATGGACCAGAACAACCCAGTTCTGGGCACCGATTTTTGCGACCATTTTGCGACTCGCATACCCATTCTGCGGTCCATTATGCGACCGCAGACCTGCTTTCGGAGGGTTAATTTTTCTATTTTCATAACCCGACCCCATTTTGATAAATAGGCTTTGGGACTCATTTTGGAGCAAAACTCTGATATTTTTAGAGAGAAGGGAGAGTGTTCTAGAGAGAGGAAGAAGCTCAAGTGCTTTGTTCATCAAGATCTTGTTCAAGCTTTGAAATCCAACAACGAAATATCACAAGATCTTCACCCAATAGGTAAGGTTCTAACCCCTAGTATTCAATTTCGAGTTTGGATAAAGATGGGTGATTAAGAGTATGATTCTTGGGTATAATAGTATTATTTATACATATCAATAAGGTTTATGAAAAGATTATTGAGTTCAAATGGGTAAAGATTGGGTTGAAAATGGTAAAAATGTTCAATGACTTTAATTGAAGATTTGAGGGTCGAGTTGATGTCGGAATTTATATGGTTGGACTCGTGAAATTTGATGGGCATTCATATTTTGTAACTTTTGTCAAGTTCAGAGACGTGGGCCCCACGGGCAATTTTTGAGTTAATTTTGGATTTTATTAAAAAAATTAGTATTTTCTTATGGAATTAATTACAATAATTGGTATTGATTGAATCGAATTAATTATGGCTAGATACGAGGCTTTCGGAGACCAATTCTCGTGGAAAGGGCAAAGAGGAATAAAGAATTTACATGGGTTGAGGTAAGTAACTCTTCTAATCTTAGAGATGAGGGTATGAAACCACAAATTTTGTGATATGTGATTGGTTTTGAGGTGACGCACATGCTAGGTGACGGGCGTGTGGGCATGCACCGTAGAAATTGTGACTAGATCAAATTCCATGGAACTGTGAAGTTGAATAATATGTTGATATTTGTATATACTCTATGTGTTAGAGAAAATTGAGCTGAGACTCGTAATAAAAATCATGCTTAGGCATATGTTGTTATTGTTGGTACCCATTGGGGTCATTTTTGTGGTTGAATAATATGTTGATATTTGTATATACTCTATGTGTTAGAGAAAATTGAGCTGAGACTCGTAATAAAAATCATGCTTAGGCATATGTTGTTATTGTTGGTACCCATTGCGGTCATTTTTGTGGTTGAATAATATGTTGATATTTGTATATACTCTATGTGTTAGAGAAAATTGAGCTGAGACTCGTAATAAAAATCATGCTTAGGCATATGTTGTTATTGTTGGTACCCATTGGGGTCATTTTTGTGGTTGAATAATATGTTCAAATTGTAATTTTTCACTCAGTCAGGTTTATTCATTTCATATCATACCTTAGTCTCTCTTATTTATTGTCGATGCATCATATCATTGTTGTTGGGATGCTTATCATGATTTCTGAGAGCCCGAGAGACTGGAGAGGTTGATGACTGAGTTAGGCCGAGGGCCTAATTGTAAGAATATTTATGGATCGGGCTACACGCCACAATATATTTATTGATTTATGCCATGATTGGCTTAATATATCGCTTGGGCTGAAGGAGCCTCTCAGGAGTCTGTACACACCCCTAGTGAGCGCAGGTACCTACTGAGTGCGAGTGCCGAGTGATTTGGGAGGATTGAGTGACTGTGAGGCATGAGTTACTGTGAGGACTGAGTGACTGGGAGGACTGAGTGATTGGGAGGACTGAGTGGAATGATACTCTGAGAGTGTGCATATGATTTTATCACTGAGTTGCATCGCATTGACATGCACACATGACATACAGGCATAAAGATGGATTTTTTCTCATGCTGTACAGTATCACATCATTCATGATTTCTCACACATGTTGACAAATGGGTATAGTGATGCAATTATTTTATACGGGTTATTTGGAAAGAAAATGAAACATCCCATTTATTATTGAAAGGATTTTGGGAAAATCACAGTTTTCAGACTTACTCATATTTTGGTGATTTTAGTGAAAAGAATTGAGTTTTACTATTATATTTGAAAAGAAAAATATTTATTTATTTTCGAAATTGTGAACGAACTAAGCACTTTATTATTGAGTTATTCATTGTGCTGCCTCAATTCTGTTGTTATGAGATTTGTTTTCTGGATATTGTTGTGGACTATTGATTTTGGACCCGACTTTGGTAAAAGCTCGTCACTACTTTCAACATAATGTTAGGTTTGTTACTTACTCAGTACATGGGGTCGGTTGTACTGATACTACACTTCTGCACCTTGCATGCAGATGTTGGCTGTCGATGTTGCTGTGTTCGATGGAAGCTGGATTTGAAGATGTATCTGCATTCCGGTTGTAGCTGCCTCTTGTTCATGGTAGCCTTAGATTCATAAAACTCTGTTTATGTACTTCTCAAACAGATGATGTATTTATTTCATACTAGCTTTGTAAACTTTATTCTTAGAAGCTCATGATTTGTACTATCAGTTCTTGGGGAAAAGTATTAGTTTTAGATATTTTCTTTTAATTAATTGCCTCGTTAATTTCATTGGAATCAGATAGTTTGTAATTGGCTTATCTAACGGGTTGGGTTAGGTGTCATCACGACTAGCTAGATTTTGGGTTCGTGTAACTAAAAATATATCAATACACTGCCTTCTTGACATTGTTTCTGCACCATAATTTCACAATTCTATTCACTTTCGTCAAGTGTATACTCCTAACACCCATTGAAACTCCCTGTGAAAATCGACCCCTACTCTTGTTGGGTGCTATTCTTCCAACGACCGTTTCCACTCACTATTGAGTGCGGATTGGACGTGGACCATTTTTTTTAAAAGTGTTTTTCAAAACAATTCTTATGTGAAGAATTTTTTTTTTTTTTTTTTTTTTTTTTTTTTTTTTTTTTTTTTTTTTTTTTTCTGATACTCAAAAAGCTTATACTCATCAAAAGCATCTTTTTCCTTCTAAAACCTTGGCAAAATATCTTAACTTAAAAAAAAAAAAAAAAATTGGCCAAACATGCTATTAATATGCCCCTTTTTCATTATTGAAGGTAGGCGCAGGTAAACTCTACTAACAATTAATGCAGTTGATATGAAGTACGGTCATTTGACAGAAAGTCGATCCTAAGAGCAAATCTGTGGAGAATTTTTCTTTATAATATGAGGAATGGAAATTTGATCTCTGATACTGTATCTTTTACTAATTGAATAACTAAATACAGTACTCTCAAATTACCACTGAAAAGAAATGGAAAACTCGGTTGGCTATTTCAAGGAAGACTTGATATATCATATAGATAGAAATGCTTTTAAAATGCGGAACTATTTTTAGAGATAGCTGAATATTAAAGAGGCGTGGGCTACGGCCTACAGATTAAAGGAGGATTTAAAGATTAATGCTTTTTATGGCTTTCTCAAAAGCATGAAAAGAAGCCTTACGGGCCAACCATTTACGTCAGGAAATATCTTTTAAATGCATTTTTCAAGGAAACTCCCATGCAACTTGATTTTGGAATTGACAACTGATTTGTTGTAATCCTAAGTTTTTATTTTTGTTTTTCTCTATGCTAAACCTAATTCTAACACACTAATGAGGGACTTGGAAAACTATAGCTAAACCAGCAGTAATGAATTTTTTAATTTTTTTTATCGACAGCTTAAAAACAAAGTGAACTGCTAAGGGGAAAAATTACGAATTACAGTGGAATCTTCTTGGAATTAGTTAGCTAGTCCCTCTGTTTCAATTTACATTGCACTCTTACTATTGAGATAATTTTCTCTTTATATGCAACTCTTTAAAATATTCTTCAAATACTTTTAATTAGAAGAATTTTATTTATAGTCCCTAATAATTTTTATGTAGTGTTTAATTATCTAAATTTAATATTAGAAATATGTTAGAAATCAATTTCCAAATTGAGATCGAAAATTAGAATTATTGGCCCAACTCCGATCCTATTTTATTTCTTTTCAAATTTCAACACAGAAGTACTATAATGAGAATTAATTGTGTGTGGTTGTAGGGCTCGAAAATTCTACATTCGTCGTTTTTTTCCCTCAAAAAAAGGAAAACAAATGCGTACGGTACTCACCCATAATGTAAGTAACGCTAACACACCTCGACAAGATAACTGCGTGCCCAAAAGTGATGAAACAAAATAATTTGCTCCACCATGTGAAATAATTAAATGTTGATCGATGAGACAAGATTATACATTTTTGAATGAAAATTAATCGATTTACGAATGCCAGTGATATTGAAATAGTAGAAAGTAAGGACGAAAGATAAAAATCAGACGCATGAAAATGGAAACTTAATGTACAAAAAAGGTATTTTTATTAGTAACAAAGCAAAGTAGCAAAAAACTGTCACTACATACAGACATTTTATTGTTCTTCACAAGAGAAAGATTACTTGGAAAATGAGCTATTCATTAGTGTACAAACACTTGAAGAGTAGGAAATTAAAAGTAAATTAAAGGAAAATGCCAAGTAATCATTTAGGTTTACTAAGTCGATCTTAGACTTGCACAGTTTGCAGCTTGGGCATATTCTCAACTTTAGCAGCTTCAGGTCCACGTGCATTAAATTTCTCTGAGTAAACAAGTGCACCAAGCTTCACAATGTCAATAATCTGCTCTTCAGTTAATTGTGGAAGGTTTTTCTGCTCCTCTGAAATTACGACATGATTTTGTAGCTCGCGAAGTTTCTGCTCCTTTATGATGTTCTTCTCTTTCTTGTTATATATCACATAAAGTATCATTTGGAGAATACCGAAGATGAATCCTAAGATGTTTGGAATCTATAAAGACAAAAAATAATATATATTATTAATTATGCAATTAATAGATCTTTACGTACGTTACGTAATAATTTAGATGTGCCCGCAAGTAATTAATCAAAATTAATAGTATTAACTTACTGCAACATTTTTGTCTTTTATTAGAAGACCGTAGAAGAACCACATGACAGCACTCAGTGTGAGGAAAAATGATAGGAGAAATGGCATGTATTCCACACTCTTGGTTTTGATAACTTTTCTCTGCATGACATATATAGTATTAGGAAAATCGAATATCATTTTCATGCATTTAAAATGGAAATTAAACACGAGGGTTAATTATTGCAATGTTCATAGACTTACCACTATGCACAATGGTGCTGCAAACGTACATAACGAAAACACAAGGCAAATCCATCCAACAATTTGGCCACGAACTGCGCCTTTGAATAAAAATTGAGTAACGAGAACGATAGCTCCAAAGCCACCAAGCACTAATAAAAGAAGCATCTTCACAGTTTGGACCTGCATTGAGCATGCAATTACAAAGTCAGAAATAATTATCTTGATCTAATATTCTCAAAATTTATTTAACGTGTTAGTGTAAAGAAGTCAAACTCTTCCTGTAAAAGCTTACGTACCCTGGCTTTCTTTGGTGCATAGAAAAGGTAGAAGCCAACGTAAATTGTTTCAATAAAGCAGCCAAAGGTGTTTATAGTGATAATGAAGATCATGTTGGACATGAGAAGTGCGTAGTATATCCAAAGTATGCAACTGAATAGTGCAACCACATAAGGAATTGATTGATAGCCTTCAGTTGATTTCTTCTTGTAAATCGTATAAAATGTAGGCCTGTCGATGATGTGTAAATACAGATGTAAGTACTATTTAATTTATACAAGTAGTATCGTAATACGAATGAAGATTTAAGACATGGGAGACTCACAGTGGAGAAAGGAACACGATGAACGAGACGATGTCACCTATAAATTGAAAAAAAGAAAGAAAGAAAAAGAGTATGATTAAACTCAACAACTTTTAAAATTCTTGGGGAAGAAAGTAAATTGCGATAAAAGAGCATGCAAATGATTAAAACAAGTATTTATTACGTAAATGATTGAAGATATGCTAGTACGATGAAATGTCACATCCATGAAATATTTAGTAGTCTCTACTAGGTAATAATATAATTAAATAGCCATAACATAGTTTTGGTATCTGATAATTGATACTTGAATACAATAGGAACAGTAATAACAAGCAAGAAATGAAATAATTTACCGAGGACGCCAAAAGCAGAAGCCCAGACGTGAACAGAAATACCAGCCATCGTTTTTTTTTAATTCGTTTTTCTGAACAAATTAAGACTTGCAAAATCTCTATCTCGATCTCTTTAGTTTTTATAACTCACACTCACAAAGAGCTTCAAGAGTTGCAAGACTTGCAAGTTCTACTTGGCAATGAAACTAGGTGACTTGGTTGACATATATATAGGCAAGTGTGGGAAAGTAGATCGATGCAATTGAAAAAAGTGTTTTGTTTTCTATTGTCTTTGCACAAATGTATAAGGAAAAAGGAAGCCCTTTGCAATAGCTAATTGACTTTTATCTTTCAGTGTATAAGAAATATTTATATTATTTAGATCACTCACAAAGTAATTATTATATATAATCTCTATCCTCAAAATTAAATGGTCCTACGGTGCTCTTTTATTATGTCATCCTCCAATACGCAGGGGCACTAAGGTTTACATTTCATACTTTAGTTTTGGAGGGGTCTGATTTTATTTGTTTTCGGTTCAGATGAACTCCAAATCAGCAAAATAACAATCCAGAAATGATGGGGGTGCCAATTAGTGCCTGCCATTTGGCATCAATAATGGAGTGGGGACATCCATTTCTGCTGCTATTGAGGTGATCAATTTGCTGAAATGGCTGATGAAAAAATCATCAGGATAATATGCTTCGCTATGCTTTGCTTTAGTTGGCTTATCTTGTTTTGGTGGCTTATGTCATACATCTATATGATGAAATAAAATGAATCAGTTTCCGTATCTCTTAAAAAATATTTACCAATGTAAAAATTATCTATTTCACTATCAGTGCTATTTATACAGTATATAAGGTCATTATTTATTTTCTATCTATTTATTATTGTTTACCCGAAAAATGGATAGAGTTGAATTTGTACGTAGTTCTAAGGATATGTGGTATAACTTAACATAAATCGTAAGGATAAATAGAAATATCGAATATTGACTGTAAAGGGTAAAAAATAAGCAAAGGTTGGAAAGAAGTTGATTTTAAGGACTAAGCAAGATGAATCAATCTATAAAGCTAAAAGGAATAACTCTTCAATGTAGGAATGTATGGTATTTGGGTTACAATGTAAGCAAAAAACTTCCCTTTTACAGAAATGTAGCCATCCTCTTTATAGTGGAGGATCCTACTTTAGATATAATTAAAAATATATAGTAGGGAGTCCATGATAAATCAGCTTTTCCCTGATTCCCACCGAGATTCTCTCCCTTAGTGCAGTTAAAACGACTCTTGTCTGTGAGCTCGAGCTTGATCGGACTCGGTGTTGGTCGATATTGTTTTTAGAGCTCGATGCGGATTTGAGCTTGATGCCGACTCGGGGTCTGGTAATGACTCAGGCTCGGTATCGGTTGGCCTTTGCCCCTTAAGCTCGATTCCATAACATCTCATCATAGTTCGATTCGGACCCGAGCTCGATAATGACTTCGAACTCGGTTCTTGAAATCTGAAGCTTGTTCGTGCCATCTTCGGAACCCATCTCGATATTACGAAGTCTTCCTTTGGTCTATTATGATCCCCATCTCGATCAATCGTATGAAGGCCAAAATCAATTTCGACCGTATACAGATAGTCCCCTCGTTTCTCGGAAAGAATGTGGTGAGAAACGATATGATTTCTCAATGGCTCGATTAGATATGCACTGACGTTTGCATCGAGCCCGACCATGACGTACGTGATAGCTGTCTCGTCAGTTTAGTTTACCAAGGCATTTAATACGTGTCAGACGGTGGTCGGCCACCGCTGATATTGAACCACCATTGCTTCAATCTATAAATAACCCTTCATTTTATCATTTATCACTTTTACATCTTCAATCTTCCAAATTTCCTAAGTTCTTTTCGTATCTTTTGAGTTCATTCGCAAATCTGTGATTCTTCTCTGCAAAATCTTTCTCCAAAACCACCAAATCTTTGTCACCTTCTTCTATTCTCGATCTTTAAATTCAAAAATGGCGAAAATATCACAAACCATTCCTCAGAAAGAGAAAGCTTCTTCTTTACAGCATGCCGCCGACAAAACACCGGTAGAGCCATGACCTGAGGAGTGCGTTCCTGGGGCGTGTGTTCTTACCTCTGATTTTAAGGTCAATAACAGCTCGTCGGTTCCCGGCCGATGTGAGCCAGTATCGAGGTATATGTGTTCGATAATCGAGAAGCACCTCATACAACTAAAGAAAAATTGCAATTGGGAGAACAAAGAAATAGTAATCCCGTCTTCTGACGAAGATATCACCACATACGTGAAAGGGTTTTTAAGTGTGTATACTTACCCTTTCACATTAGGTCCCCTCGACCCCGTTATTATTGATTTCTGCCGTCAATACAAAATAGCCCTAGGCCATATCCATCCTTCTTTTTGGCGGATCATTATTTTGATCCGATACTTCGTCAACAAAATTGAGGGGATGCCTTTCACCTTCGACCATCTCATTCTATAGTATTGTCCTCGCCTCTTTCGAGGTGGGTTAATAAAACTTCAGCATCGGGTTACCAAGGTTCTGTTCTCGAGCATAGACGAGGACAGGGATCGAGGCTGGATGGGCAGGTTCGTTCGAGTAAGGACTTCGGACCTGATTCCGACTGAAAAGATGTCTTTTCCCGAGGAGTGGAACATGAAGCGTAAGTGTAATTCTGGTGTTATCTCCTACTATTTTGCCCTTTCATTTCTTTTCTCACTGATATCCCCTTTTTGTGATGCAGCGGTTCCCTGGATGCCCGGCGCAGTTCCCGATCTCAAGAACTGGGTACGAGATCTGGTTTCGACCTTCACATACGCCGAGCGCTCATGGCGTAATTTGTCAAAGGGCCGATGGGAGGCTAAAAATCATGGTAAGCCCCTTTCTCGTATTTTTGGTAGTTCGAAAGAGATGCTTTCCATATACTTCAATAAATATTCTTGTATGTAGGTGTGGGCAAATATGCGGTTTTGAGGCCCTCGTCCGTCGAGGAAGAGGCTTCGACCTTTGTTCCAAAGCCGGTGAAGGATAATAAGAGGAAAAGGCCCTCCGCTTCCGAAGATCCAAAATCGAAGACGGGGACGAATCGTAAGCTAAGGAAGAGTACCATTCCTTTGACCGCAGAATCAGTTCTACGTCTAAGGGATGAAGACAACGACAAAGAAGAAAACGACGGGTCCGTGCTGGAGGCCCGAATGAAGAAAAGCATCGATGCCCCAAAGGCAGCTGAATCGATGGTGATTTGTAACGGTCCGCCTCGGATCGAGGAGATATCATAGGAAGGCTCGGGCAAAGTCCCCGAGTCATTAGAGATTGAGGATGCTTCCTACCGAAGTCAACAGACGGTGGGTACATCGGAAGGGGCCGGTCCTGAAGCTCTCCGAACTGAGGAGAATGCCCCAAGCGAGTCGCTTGGGGCAATAGTAATCGGAGATTCGTCCACTCTCCCTGCCTTTTCCGAAGGGGATATTCGGGAAGCCCAAGTTTTGGGGGCCCTCGAGATGAGCCGGTCTCATGAAGGGGAGGACCCCTTCCGTGATTTGTTTACTAGTGTCGAGGACGCTGCTGGCCGTAGTGATGTGTCAGGCTTTCTTTGGGAAGTGCAGCTAGCTGTGAATCGAGTAAGCTCTTAACTTTCTTTGTTGATATTACTTTTTATGTTTTGGTATTCTTTTCTAACTTCTTTTCTTCTTTCTTCGCAGGCCTTGGCGGTTCATCGAGAAGCATATTCTCGGTCTCGAGCTGAGCTGCATCGGTTCGAGATCGACCTCCGACGGGTTACGGAGGAGAGGAATGCCCTTAAACTACTTTTCGGGCAAAGGAAAGAAGAAATCAAAGGTCTTAGAGCTGAGTTGGCCAAGGCTCATCAAGACCAGACCGACCTGACCGAGCAAGTAATGTTAATATTAAGAACTCATGGGCTTGATTCAGGATTGAAGGCTAATATTTCGGTCTCACAGCTGCAGCAGAAACTCGAGACGATTGGGCAGCTTCGTGAGGAAGTTGATACAATAAGGGCAGAGACCATGGGATGGAAAGATGGCATGGACCGTCTTGCTACAGAAAAAGAAACTATTCGGGCCCAATTGTCATCGACTGTAAGCCAACTTCAAGGCATGAAAGAGAAGAGCTTGGTTCAAGCGAGAAGAATAGAGGAACTCGAGGCTCGGTTGGCCTCCGAACTTGCTAAGGCCAAATCAGATGCCGAGAAAGCAAAGTCCTATGCGGATGCGTTAGTGGCCGTCTATCGGGCGGATACTGAAGCTGCCCAGGTGCAAGCAAGAGAGGCAGTCGAGACTGCCAACACCCGAGCACATTGGGTTGCTGAACTTGCTAAGTGCCGATCTCGGAGGGAGACCCTTGAAGAGATCCATGCTTGGGGTTTCGATCTCACTGAAGAGATAAAAAGTTCTAAAGAGCTCGAGGCTGATGCTGAAGCCTTGGCTTCCGATGATGACGATGATGATGATGATGACGATGATGGGAGCAAGATCGGGGAGGAGCCCGATGGAGATAAGACCGCCCCCGGAGATAACCAATAAACTTATCCCTTAGTTTCCATTCCGTACGTTGTAAACAATCATGTAAACAATCTTGTATACATATATAAATATCTTTTCTTTTCCCGACTTGACTCTGTTTTATTTCCTGCCTTGTGAAGATTTTGTTTTATTCATGCCTTATGAATGTTTTCATAAGGCTTTAGGCA